AAGTAAAGATATGCTCGCAAGCAAAAGAATTCAAGAATCACAATCAATGACCAAGTTCCACGTTCCAACCTTATACCGAGTTTCAACCTTTACACCACTTCATCCTTATATCAGTTACAACCTTTACCTCCAGGCCACCCTGTACAACCAATCCAACCTTATCCCTCTGTGGAGACTTAGCTCCTCCGCCTGCTTTTCCACCGGCTTTTCATTATTCATATAACATATCACATGATAGTTTACCGCTAATCATGTTGAGCAAAGCTCATATCCGCCAACTTTTAATCATAAACACATAGTCACATAATCATTGGCATAGACAATTGAGGCTCATCATTAGCCCGGATGAAGGAATAATCATTACAAGGTACAATATTTGTACAAGTCTACAGTGGTTAGTTCCATCAAAGGAATTCAAGAAGAAACATGAAGGAGACATTTCCAACGTAACCCACAATAATGAAAGACTTCAACTCAAGAGACCACAATGATTAGTAAACACAAGTTACCAATCTTCATCAAGAATAGGCATGAACATTACAAGGAAAACACATACTAGTACCAACGAACAACGTAGCTAGCATGCAATTCAATCAAGATAATCATAAAGCTCATACGAACATCATAGACTTCACATCAATCTAACGAATCACAAAATTGGATTATAATTACGATTCAAGACTCACAAGTCCTATCATGGGTACTTAAGACATCGTTCTAGACTTACGAAACATCAATCAAGACATACAAGTGCACAACGGGTCAACAAAACGAAGGCCAAAATACAACGTACTAGTGGGCGGTACGGTGGGTGGAAGACCACCCGCCACACTACCCGCCACTGTACCAGTGGGTGGTGCCACAGGTGGTCAACCACCCGTGCACCCCCCGCCACCAACACTACCCGTACCAGTGGGTGGACTGACGTGTGGCACACTGCCCGCCGGTCTACACGCGGGTACCAAATCCTGAGAGAAAATCTCACTTTGGGAAAATTGTCAAAATGCTCAAGTTCAAGTCCAAAACACCTCAAAACTCATACTCATCAGCAAAGGAACTTGAACACATAGAATAGCTCAAAGGATAGCATCAAAGGACCCTACATACAAACTCTAACATGGCATAAACACAAAAATATGCTCAAAATCACTCAATAGCATCAAGAATGTCAAAAAATCATCATAGCAAGTATAAAATAGATTTTGTAGGACATGAGTTACCTTTGTAGCCTAAACAACACTTCCTCAAACTCCTAAGATTCTCCTTCATGGTCTTCTTTCACAAGATCTTCCAAAAACAAATCAAAACCCCAAACAAAACAAGCAAATCTTAGATAAAGGTGATGAAAAACTAAGTAACAACACTAATAAAGCCTAGGACTTACCTTTCCTAAGGTTGTAGAGGTGGAAAGGTTGAATCTTGGAGATTTTCCTTTGCAAGGTTGGGAGGGTTTTAGGTTAGCTTGGAGAGGAAGCTAAAGTGTAGAGAGAAGTAGAGAAACTGAAATGGTTGAAATTCTTTTGGTTAGGGTAGGGTTTCTAAGGAAAAATCTGAAAAGTTAAAAAGGGGGGTCCCTTATTAATTTTTAAAGGCTAAGAAGGTTTTGTTTGGGATAGATAATACAAGGTTCAATGCAACTAAGTCAAGGTCCAACCCTCTGACCATATTAATAGATTAAGAAATTTGGATCAACTTGATTCCCTTAATTGCATTTAATGGGAATTGTGAATTAATTAAGTAATTAATTAATTCGGACTTTAAGGAAATAAATTCCCGGGGTGTCACAGGTCCTCTTAGTAGCAATAATGAGTTTGCAATGGTAGGGGTGGATGAGGATGAGAGGAGACGCCGGTCGTTGTGGATCTGCTTGACCTTGTGGACATGTTCCCCTCCTGGATGGCCTCCCCTTTGTGGACCTAGTAAACCTGCCCCCGTTCGTCAACCCTCCCCTTGAGGAGCTGCCTGCCTTCGTTGTCCGCTTTTGTCACCTAAAGTTTTCACATATTGAAAGTTTTATTTTAAATTTGAACAACAATTGTATCTAAAAGTAAAAGTAGTGCATTTTATTAGGCATTTGATTACTACACACAATGCATAAACGATACATAATACATAATACACTTATAAAACATTTTTTCTCTTATAAATTGAAAATTTAACTGATAGGATATAAAAGTGAAGGCAAATGATGATATAAAAAATAAAAATAAAAATAAAAAAGATGATTACCTATAAGGCTATAAGTAAACCATAATTCAGCATGCCTTATACTAAAATTGATTTTAAAAAACCTCAAGACAGTTGAATTTTCATTGTGCTATTATTTGTTATATATTGACTTAAATCTCAAGGGGTATGTATAAATTAATGAGTGTTTATACTATAGTAATTGGTTAATTTAATGCTCTTATTTACACTATGACTATTTGTATAATTCAGTGTCTAAGTTAGTGTTATATTCTTTTAATGCATTATTGTTAAAGAAATGTCATAAATGATAGCACTAAAAACATAGACATAAAGAAATTATATAGTACAATTATAACAACACAATGTACAAAATGATTAACACTAAAAACATGTACACAAATTAGGATATAACTTTGATAGAGACTTGTTATGTTTTTAGATAATGGGAAAAAGGCTAAAGATGATAGAATGTGTGAGTTAGATTTCTTATTCGTGCTAGAGACTAAATCTTGTAGGCTTAGAATTAATTTGGTAAAGTTAAATAGTTTAGGTCGAGCATAATTTCTGTAATTTATGTCTATTAAACAAATATTAGAGAGAGGGATTTATGGATACACATATGGTAGTGGCACTAAGAAATGCAAAATGGGTGGAGTATATTCTTGTAGTTGAGGTAACAAAAACTCTCTCAGTCGAATTCGTCTATATAATTTTTTAATGCAATTTATTTTTCAGTGTGATTTGTAGACCATTACATATGAGAATTATCTAAGTGCACACCGTCAAGTGTAGTGCAAGTCAACAACAATGTATATTCCGATGAAGTATTTAAAATTGGAATAAGAGCCAAATAGGCCACTCAACTGCACACCAAACAGCAATTAGGCCATCGAACTCAAAAAAAAAAATGTAATTGGGTTCTTGAACAAAACAAACTCATGCAATTTAACTCAAAATGACCTATTTACCTTAAAGTATGCTGACGTGGTGGTTACCTATTATTTAAAATTATTTTAAAATTATTTTTAAAATCGGTAACTGTCACACCAACATACTTTCAGGTAAACAAATCATTTTGAGTTAAATTGTATGAGTTTGTGTTGTTCAGGGACTCAATTACATATTTTTTTTAGTTCGATGGCTTAATTACAATTTAGTGTGCAGTTGAGTGTCCTGTTTAACCCTTATTCTTTTAAAAAGTTTTAGAATTCTTACGTTAGTAATATATTTTGGTGGTTTTACAAATTTAGTTTCTAGTAAATAATTTTATCGTGTAACTTTAATTTTTAGCCCCTAATCATTATAGTATTGTCGCGTTGAAAAATATTACGTGAACTCTCATTTTTTACTTTCAACTTCTAATCTCACATTTAAATTCTTGATATGAATACTTTTATGAATACCGCATAATTAAAATAATTTATCATTATTTTTCACATCATGAAATAAAAGTGAAAAAATAAAATTTAAGAGTATACATAGTATAATTTTATTTTATTATATTCTTAATTCTTATTTGTTTGTCATAATCAATATCGTTTTATTAAAATGTATTCATAATAATATCCACTTGTTTTAATATGAAAAAGTCAATAAAATTGACTTTAATATTTGTTAGGATATATACCTGAGAGTACGATCCGTAAGTACTGAGAACCTGATCGGATCCGACCCCATACGAAATAAGCGTCTTTTCCCGATCTGATTGACCTTGAGAGAGTACTGATCGACCCGACCTAAAGGTTATTTCCCTTAATAGCTTAATGAGCTCCTACTATTACTCTTTTGTGTTCGGTCCCAACCTGAGTGCTTGACCTCGGCCCCGACCTCCTGAGATAAGCCCTCATATGCTGACAGTAACACTTGAACTGAGCCCGATAGCTATTGGTTAATCAGGTATTCGACCACACGTGGACGCATCTCCTTGGACCCTTGTCCGCCGAGTGCATGAAGGACATGCGGCATGTGTCCCTTCCAAATCTTGGGTGCGAGTGTATGCGGACAATGTTGCATGAGTCACACAAAAGAGTAGTGTGTATGTTAAGGGCAATCTTACGAAACACATTGCGCCTAAGTTCTTTTACCCGCATGAACTTCAAAATAGTGGTAAAATCCTTGTTGAGAAGATTCGCTCTAGTGACAATCTGACAGATTTGTTCACAAAGTCCTTGTCTACATTCACTTTCTAAAAATATGTTCATAAAATTAGAATGTGTAGGCTTGGAAGGCTATTTCCTCCTAGGGGAGCGACAACGTCTAGGCACTATTGAATATACATACCTAAAAATCCTGAAGAGTATGCCTTGAAAGCTCGTAGTTGAACTCTTTTTTCATTAACTAAGTTTTTCCCCATTAAATTTTCTTAAGCTAAAATTTTTAATGAGACAACTAGTGTAACACATTATTTTACATACTTTGTGTACTCTTTTTCCTGACTAAATTTTTCATAGATGATTTGTTACGAAGACTGATTCGATAATGACCCATAGAGAGTATTATAAATAATTAAATATCCGACCTTTTCACTTTACCCTATAATTATGTTTATGTACGGTTGAGATAAATAGTGTATATATATCATTGAAAAAACGAGTGCTGACATTTTTCTTCTCAAATTTCTCTCTTATACTTCTCTCCATATTCTCTCTGCATTTTTATTTTTGCAAACAACTATTATGATAACTACGTTACCATCCCAAAAGTAAGAGTAAAATAGGCCACTTCTCTATTAATTTTAATATTATAAAAATTAAATTATAAAATAACTCCAATTTTTGTCTGATTTTTAAGCCAATGGCCTACTTAGAGAAGGCAAACTTGCTTCTAAGAAAAGGGTACGACTGTCCGGTGCAACCGTGTAGTGTAAAATTGAAACTTCGATTCTGATAAATCCTGATTTCGCTTCTGAAAATGACAATGGGTTTCAAGTCCAGTAGCCAAAGATTCAATCTTTACAGTATATGAGAGTAGTTGCAGCCTTGCAGGTGTTCAAATAAACATCTGAACTGGGTTTTTGCTGTGGCGAAAGAAAGAAGATGCCTGCCACAACTATGCTGTCATATGTTGAGGATAGTTATGTAAGCACTGTGGTATCTGGAATCTTGCTCGATTGTTCTTTGCAAATTACAAGAATTTAAAGCAGAAAGAAAGAAAAATTTTTGTCAGGAAAGATTTAAGGTGAATGTTTGTTTGACTGTTTATGTTGAAGGGGCATTTGTTTGTGCAGATAGTAGTTAACAATGGAGTGCTCCAAATAACATTCACAAATCCAGGGGGGATCATCACAGGAATACAATACAAGGGAATTGACAACTTGCTGGAGCTCAACAACCCAGATTTGAATGGAGGGTTTGTGTTTTTTTTTTTGTTTTTTATTATTATTATTATTATTTTTTTATAATAATCATATTGGAGGAAATTAAAGCATGTATTCCACCTTAACTAAAAGCCTAAGTTATGAGCGGGTTACTTTTGACGGCTCCAAGCAACCCGGGTCACGGGATCATATGCGTTCTATATCAACTAAAAGGCTAAGCTGATAGCTGGATTGTACATTTATGTTTATATATTACATGCTCAGCTCAGGAGAAGTGCATGAAAGTGTTAAGCACTTTTAAAGTATTTGTTACTATGGATTGAATGAAAAATAAAATCTTGATAGTAATGATTAATTAGGAGCCTCTCTTTGGTGATTTATGATACAGGATTTGTGCATTTAGCTCTGCGGGTGGTGCTTGAATGTGTTTCGTTTCTGAATTTTATAAATAGAATGGCATATAATTGATATCTGAGGCAGTCATTTTTTGAAGTCTGTTTGCATTATATTTTGAATGATATGCAAGAAACCGGTACACATTCATAGTCTGTTTGCCATTTTTTTTTTAATCAGCCATGATGGATGAAGAAGAGTAATATTTTTATCCTTATGAAATAAACAGGTTCTGGGACCTTAATTGGAGTGAAGCAGGGAGTAGAAAAACTCGGGGAAAATTTGATACGTATGTGTTTATCTTAATTCTCACACCACCCTCCTTTTATTTGCATATGCAGATTGGCAAGTTGAAGAATAGGAAAATAAATACATTATAATGATTTGTCGGCTCAAGATAGTCTAATAGCATAAACCTGTTATTCTGGGCAGGATGTTTTAACAGATCATCGCATAGCTTATATAACTATAGGGTTTCTCCAATTTGTTCTTATTCTGGCTGGGATTAAATAATGCAGGATTAAAGGAACTAGTTCAAAGGTTATAGTGGAAAATGAGGAGCAGATTGAGCTTTCGTTCACAAGATCCTGGGATCCATCAGTCCAGGGTGAACAAGCTCCCTTGATCATAGATAGAAGGTCTTTTGTTAAATGCTGCTACCTTAAATACCGTCCTATGTTGTTTAAGTCGCAAGGGTTTTCACATACATCGATTTTTGGTTTTGGTAGGTTTATAGTTCTCCGTGACTCCCCGGGGTTCTACTCATATGCCATATTTGAACACTCGAAAGACTTGCCTGCTTTCAACCTTAACACCACGAGAATTGCCTTCATGCTTAACAAAGACAAGTGAGAATTTCTTTCGCCTGCTGCCATTGAAAACACATTGATAAAATAAGAGAGAACATATGGGTTTATAAGGCCATGGGTTAGATTAGTTAATTGGTTGGATTCAATCTTTTAGTGTGGTTTGACCATGTGCATTATAGCTCAGTTGGGTGACCCTGATCCAATCTGTTTATAACTATGTAGACGGTAAAAGCAAGAACTTCTCATCATGGTATTGCATTTCGTTTTATCAGGTTCCATTATATGGCTGTTGCAGATAACCGACAAAGATTTATGCCCAGTGCAGATGATCGGCTTCCAGGAAGAGGCCAACAACTCGCCTATCCAGAAGCCGTCCTACTAGTTGATCCCGTAGAGCCAGAATTCAAAGGAGAGGTGTGCCCGCCATATGCCCTTCATCGATAATTATTTGCATCCCGGAAACTCACAATATCAATAAGAAAAATGCATCAGATTTCAACCATTCTGGTTACCTAATCACAGGTTGATGACAAGTATCAATATTCGTGTGAAAATAAAGACAATAAGGTCCATGGATGGATTTGTTTTGACCCTCCCGTGGGATTCTGGCAAATTACTCCTAGCAATGAATTTCGAACAGGAGGGCCTTTCAAACAAGATCTGACCTCCCACGTGAATCCAACCACCCTAGCTGTGAGTGACTTCCACTCTTCCGATTAGTCTGATCCCTCTAATAGGTAATGATTATATATACTGAATAGTTTTCGGAATTTCTTGTAGATATTTGTCACTTCGCATTATGCTGGAGAGGATCTTCTGGTAAAATTCGAACCCGGAGAGGTGTGGAAGAAAGTTCTTGGTCCTGTCTTCATATATGTTAATTCTGTACATGATAAAGCAGATGCACTATCACTCTGGGATGATGCTAAGGAACAGGTTAGTGCCAAAGAGAGTTTTTTTTTTTTTTTTTTTTTTTTTTTTTTTTTTTTTTTTTTTTTTTTTTTAATACGAAGGATTACAAATTGCTGCAAAAAAAGAAAAAAAAAATAAAAATGAAGAATTTAAACACATTTCTTTCCAAATTTAGATTATACAGACTTTCAAATGCTTTTTAGATGGAGAAAGAAGTTCAAGCTTGGCCCTACAGTTTCCCAGCTTCTGAAGAATTCCCAAACTGTGATCAAAGAGGCTCAGTTTGCGGTAGACTTTTAGTACAAGACAGGTATTAACCTCTTAGCTTTATGTTAAAAATCTAAGATTTGAGCCAAAGTGGACCGAACAGGCTGTGTGACCATGTTAAAATCTAAGTTTGGGCTAAGACCACTTAACTAGGCTATAATGCACATGGGTCAAACTACACTAAAAGACTAAATCCAATCAATTAGCTGATCTAACCGATGGTCTTATAAACCCATATGTTCTCTCTTATTTTTTCAATGTGGTTCTTAACACTTTAGAACGGTTTCCATCAGTTCATACATTTCATTACATTTTTAATCACTCTTGGCAATAATATGAATGAATAGATACATCGATACGGAGAATATATCAGCAAACGCCGCGTATGTGGGGTTGGCCCCACCAGGAGATGCTGGATCATGGCAACGAGAGCACAAGGTAATTTTGGTCATTTACGAAATTGTGTTGTTGGCTAAACAGTCATGGCAGTGTAGACTCGAGTGAAAAAGGTCATTTAACCTTGTGTTATTGTTCACGAATCATAGCAATTAACGGATATGGTACATAAACCTGCATTTTACCAGGGCTACCAATTTTGGACTACAACAGATGAAAACGGCTACTTTATCATTAACAACATACGTGAAGGCATATATAATCTTTATGCATCAGTCCCTGGATTTATTGGTGATTACAAATATGAAGTTGCAATTACTATTACAGCAGGTCCCGAGTGATCAACATAATTTTCACGTTGAAAATATGGAACAAATATGTTCGTTTGGCATAATTTGATCATTGCACTCAATGTCAAAGCAGGTTTTGAAATCGTGCTGAATGAACTCGTTTATAAACCTCCGAGAGACGGTCCCACATTGTGGGAGATTGGAGTGCCTGATCGCTCTGCTGCAGAATTCTATATTCCCGATCCCAATCCAGAATACATCAACAGACTTTACGTGAACCATCCAGACAAGTGAGTTCCCTTGCAACTTCATAGATTCAGTAACATTACATTAAATTATAAAAGATTGAATCCAACCAATTAGCTAGTCTAACTCATGGCCTTATAAACCCATATGTTCTCTCTTATTTTATCAATGTTGACTCTTAACAATAGGAAGTAAACTTACTTACAGTTTGTTCAAGTCTGTCTTCAAATTGAGCTGTTTGATTATTGAGGAATAGTTTCATTTATGCTCCGTGAACACTATTTGGATTCTTAATAAAAGATTATATGGTTTCTTTATATCCCAGATTTAGGCAGTATGGACTGTGGGAAAGATATACAGATTTATACCCTGATAAAGATTTAGTCTACACAGTTGGAGCCAGCGACTATAGCAAAGACTGGTTCTTTGCTCAGGTTAACAGGTTTATACTATCTTGATTTCATTTGAGATGCAGTGTTCTTTCAATCTACCAATTACTTCCTTTTTAGAGCAGATAATGTTTCTGTTAGGATCAAACGCTTACCACTACGCCAAAAGCTATAACTAGTAGCGAATGCGCAACTTTATTTCCTTATACCGCCACATTTTCGAGGGCAAATTATACCATGAACCAAGAAGGTCTACCTTGCATTATAGACCCTGGTCCAAAAATAACCTTCAGATTTTGTATCTATAGTTGACACATTCTGTACCTGCAGTTGATAGTTTCTGTACCTGTAGCTATCATATTATGTGTCAGCAATTATCAAGTCAGATTATGTATCTATAATTGATACATTTTGTACCTGCAGTTGATAGTTTATGTACTTGTAGCTATCATATTATGTGTCAGCAATTATCAAGTTATTTGTTTACATGTACAGAAACTGTTAACGGTAGGTACAGAAAGGTACAAAATTTTTGTATCAGGGTTCACAATGCAATATGAACCCTAGTCCATGGTATAACAATTGATTTTCGAGAGGCAAGGTGCTGGACTTGGCCCTTTAAGCCTCCACCTAAGAATCCCCTAGCCACCTGATGCTGGACTTAGCCCTTCACCGGTCCCCGCCCAACAATTTCTCTAAATTTTTGGAAAGAGCATAGCGGAAATTGCTATAATCATATTGTTCAAGATACCATCATATATCAAAACTCAATATGACTATCAATAGCAAGAGCTCCAAATAATTTCTTGATTCCACAATCAATCCTTGCCATTCAGGAAAACGGGGGATAAGATGTATGCAAGTACTACATGGCAAATCAGGTTTACGATTGATAACATTGATCAAGCTGGAACATACAAATTACGACTAGCTCTTGCATCTGTTCACCATTCAGATTTACAGGTATGAATTAAACGCAATATTTAAGAACAAATTCAGGCCAGTTTTGCCTCGAGAGTATTTACACTGTTGCAACATTGAACTCTTGTGATAGGTCCGGTTGAATGATCCAACGGCTGATCCTCCTCTACTCTCAACCGGAGATATTGGAGCTGACAATGCCATTGCAAGACATGGCATTCACGGGATCTACTGGCTGTTCAGCGTGGACATACCAGGCGCCCAGCTCGTACAAGAAGAAAATACTATATTTTTAACACAAGCGAAGAGCAGCAGCCCTTTCCAAGGGATTATGTACGACTATATCCGTTTGGAAGGCCCTGAATCTTGTATGCCATAGGTGTTGCTGCTCATTTGCAACTGGTTGACCAATCATAAACGTTAATAGCTTTGCTTCGTGTATGGGATTGGCCCTATTATGGGCACGAGTATATAAACACTTTGGAGAACCTATAGATTCGCTACTAACGTTTTGAGGCAGGACCAGTAAGAACCCTCGGGATTGGGGTGCAATCTTTTCATAAACGCTAGAGGTGTGTTATATTGTAATGGCTTCAAATAAATGAAAATTGTCATTCTTGTGAACTGTCTGATCAAAAGGTGGCTCTTTAGCAGAGATTCATTCAAGAAAATACATTTTTTAGTGTTGTTGCTTCTCTCTGTTACATAGTGACCTTTCTTTTAAGCCTCATCTTCTGCCTCTCTGCAAAAGTCTTTGGTAAGAAAATTTTTTGTCTGTTTTTTCTTTGTTCCCTTCAACTTGAAACTTTGAAGTTTCAATTTCATAGGTACAAATAGTGGGCCTTCTGCCGCTGGTTCTCCTAATACAAAGCTACAATAAAAGGCGGTGGAAAAAGAATTTCATAACTTCTTGTAATAATCAAATATTTTAAGGTTGGTAATTTATTATTAAAAATTAAATGTTAGTAACCATTTGATTTACGAGAAAACTCACAATAGGTATGTTTTGGGTGAAGCCTGACTTGTGGCAAATGATTATAATAAAGTAATCTTAAATGACCAGCTTAAAACAAGAAGTAAGGCTAAGAGATCGCTCCTATAAGAATTCAAACTTGGAACCTTATAGTTTAATTGGACTGGGGGTTGGTCCTATATATATATATGTTAGTAACCCAACAATTTGAAACAATTGTTAAACGAGCTGTTAATACAATTGTAAGATTCTTGTGTGTGTGAAAGAATTTTGCGCCAAGTTTTCCATGAGTAAGACTTTGGCAAAATGTTGGTATAATTAAAATCAATTTTTTTAACTTAATTATAAAAAAACCGGTTTAACTTGATTTAGTCATTTAGTTTATATGTTCATCATATTTTTTAAAAATTGATATTATTTCTCAAATAAAAAATAAAGGTGAAATTGCAGATTGGGACAATCTTTGTGAAGTTAATCAACAGTTAGTTGGCTTGGTAATTATAAAGTTCTAAATTCGACTCTTCAGATTTCACCTAAAACGCACAGTCCAATAGCGGTAAATCAAAGCGTGGCAAATACTTTCTTTGTCATTCTAAACTTGCCTTCTCTATATGGGCATGAGAGTATGGGAGTTTTATTTGGATATGGAAGAAAAGATTTCCCTTTTGTCTCTTTGTCAACATGGGTGATGTCAGGTTATTACAATTCCCAGAGGAAAGTAGTGTTATTATGTCAATGTCAACAAAAGGTTGAGGAAACCATTTCTCAAAATTCTGAAATATTATAATGTTGGCAAATTATCTTTTGCTTATGTCCATGGCAAAATGTGCTCTAAATCTCTAATCAAACTTATGAAGCTAGGAATCACCTTGTATGAGTTGTTGTATATATATATATATATATATATATATATATATATATATGTATCTCTGATTTTTTGACAGGATGGCAAAACTATAGCTTTTCCTTAAAGAAATCATGCTTGGATGACACTTCAATTCAAGGCTAATAATACATTATATATATATATCAAGAAACCCCTTCTGCTTTCTCCATCCACATTGAAGGGAAGTCCAAAAGGTAAACCCCTTTGCTCCTTTGTTTTTGTTTTTCATATAAATTATAAACTGGTGAGCTATACTGATCAAAGTAGCCCGCACGGGCTTAGCTCACTGATTCAGTAGGCAGTTTAGGAGAAGAGACCGGGATTCGAATTTTGGCAGCAGCAGTGTGGGGATTATGTCCAAAGTGAGCAGATTTCTTGTACACACGGGTATTTGGCCCTATCTGTTGAGCCATTGAGTCACCACGGGTATTTGGCCCAGTCTGTTGAGCCATTGAGTCACCACGGGTATTTGGCACTGTCTGTTGAGCTATTGAGTCACCGTTATTTACATCCTCCAAATGCTCTGTCGGGCCATTGGGTTGGGATTCAGCCTTTTGGGAGAAGCTATACTCTGATCAAAGTATATTTATTGACAATGAGTTTTTGGCTTTTGGAGATCACTACAGACTCATAACCTTAAAAGCATCAAAATGTCGAGTGCTGCTGTGCAACTTATTCAACAAGATGATCAAGTATGTTCCATTTAGTCTTATTGTCTACAAATCAGTGATGTGAAAACTGTTTAAAAGTTTCATTTTTTCTTAAAATTATTATAGGATAAAATTGTTAATAATGTTATTTAATTTGTTGCAGGTGGTGGTAGATAATGGTATATTTCAGCTCAGGCTGACAAATCCTGGTGGAACAATTGTTGGAATTCAATATGGTGGAATTGACAATTTGCTTGAGCTTAATAATCCAATCTTGAATGGAGGGTTTGTTCCATTTCACATCTTAAAAAAAGAAAAATTAAATAAATAACCTTTTGTTTAATCAAGATAGCTACTACACAACCAGCACGGGTAGCTCAGTTGGTTCTCGGGTGGCAAATTGTGGGTAAGGATGCAAAGTCGAGCCCTGATAGTCACAGTGGGATGTTTCATCCTCTTACGGGCCCACCCCATGACCACCAGATTGTGGGTAAGGACGCAAGGTCGGGTCGGGCCTTGACAGTCACAATGGGATGTTTCATCCTCTTACGGGCCCACCCCCTGACCACCAGATTGTGGGTAAGGACGCAAGGTCGGGCCCTGACAATCACAGTGGGGAAGTTTCATCCTCTTACGGGGCCCACCCCCTGACAACCGCAGTGTGGAAGTTTCACCCTCTTATGGGAGTGGCTCCTTGTGGACAAGTCTTCCTACCTAATGGACCGTTGAGTCACCGTGAGACACCCCTCCACAATTCTGTAGGGCCGGGATGTGAGGGGAGTTAATTCGCCTTTTTGGGCAAGATAGTTATACAACTTAAAGAATATATTTTGTATGGTTAACCTCATCATACAGGTTCTGGGACTTAAACTGGAGTGAAGCTGGAAGCTCTGGAACAAGAGGGAAATTCGACACGTAAATTCCTATTATATCATGCATAGATATGATATTATGATATGATCTTTTATAGTTATTCTGAACTGAAAGGCGCATTTGGCTCTAAAAATGAAGGATTGAAGGAACTAGTTTTGAAGTCATCACAAAAAGTGATGAAGCGGTAGAGCTTTCATTCACGCGAAAATGGGATCCCTCTTTGCAGGGAGAGCATTCACCATTAAGTATAGATAAGAGGTCTGATGGTTGAAGTTGAAGTATATATAGTGATTGTTAGCGTCTATATTGTGTATGTAACAATGACCCTTTTAAGTTTTATGGCTGTTCTTAGGTTCATAATTCTCCGAGGCTCCTCGGGCTTCTACTCTTATGCAATTTATGAACACACAGAAGATATGCCAGCATTCAACCTCAACGAAACCAGGATAGCTTTCATGCTCAAGATTGAAAAGTAAAGTGATCTGTAGTTAATTAGTTCGATTAGGTTGAGCATAATATATACAATATATACATGCAATCTCGCTATCAGCTTAGCCTTTTAGTTGAGACAGAACATATTCGTCAATTGTGTTGAAGCATTACTTTCAATTCCCTAATCCCTTAGGATTTCAGGTTCCGTTACATGGCCATGGCAGATGACAGGCAGAGATTCTTGCCCCTCCCCGAGGATCGCTTACCCCCGAGAGGCAAAGAATTAGCCTATCCAGAAGCGGTCCTGCTTGTTGATCCCGTTGAGCCAGAATTCAAAGGAGAAGTATTATTATATATCAACTAACCTTATTTTTTCCAAATCCAACTAATGTGCTGCAGTGCTTAACTTGTGTGCTTATTATGTTTTTTGTCCTGGGTTTCGTGATCAGGTTGATGACAAGTATCAGTATTCGTGCGAGAATAAGGATAACAAAGTGCACGGGTTTATATGTTTCGACCCTCCAGTGGGGTTCTGGCAGATCACTCCCAGCAACGAGTTCAGGACCGGTGGACCTATTAAGCAGGATCTCACTTCCCATGTCAATCCAACAACTCTTGCGGTATGCTAGTTTCCTAGTATTAAGAGTCTCACATTGATAAAATAAGAGAAAATATATGGGTTTATAAGGCCATGGGTTAGACTAGCTAATTGGTTGGATTTAATCTTTGAACTGTCCCCTTCAGATGTTTGTGAGTACTCACTATGGGGGAGAGGATTTGGTGATCAAATTTGCGCCAGGCGAGGCGTGGAAGAAAGTGTTCGGTCCTGTCTTCATCTATCTTAATTCTGTAGTGGACCGAGACAATGCCAATTCACTCTGGGATGATGCTAAGGAACAGGTATATATACATAAAAAAACATAAAGAGTTAGTTTAGTACTTTCATGGGTAAAATGTTGTTTTTCACTTTTTCTGATCACATTCTCATTGCCTGTACTGATTTAGATGAAGAATGAAGTTCAAAGTTGGCCTTACAGTTTCCCGGCTTCAGAAGATTTTCCACGCGCTGATCAACGAGGCGCCATAAGCGGGAGACTACTAGTTCAAGACAGGTATATATCTATCTGTGTTGGTCTTCTTATCTGCAATCGTCATAAACCTTAACTATCAAATGAAAACTCGGTTTTTGTGTTGTTGAAAATTATCGTCGCGAAGATATATCAGTGAAGACTGTATATCAGCAGAGGGTGCTTATGTAGGGCTGGCTCCCCCTGGAGCCACTGGATCATTTCAAAAGGAAAACAAGGTAAAATTTTGTTTATCTTACCTTTATGACTATAATATAATAAACATATATAGTAGCCAATGTGTAAGGCAGAGGCCTGAAAGGCCAAGTCCAGGGCGTCCAGCACTCTGCCTCTCGGATCTCAGCGCTGCATTATGCTTACTTCTCAGGGGGTCACTCATCTGTGATTTTTGTAAGTCAAGTTTGTGACTGTTATAAGTCAAGTACGCTTAACTACAGAGTTTTTTGGCTATCTGGTTGTCATATCCTACTTAAAATCAATTGGTCAAAGTGGACATTAACCATTTAACCCACAAGTTTTTGGATGGTTGTCATATTCTACTTAAAACCAATTGGTCATAAGTAGGTGGACATTAACCATTTAACCACACCCACGCCACGTCCGGAATCGAACAGGGGCTGAACTCAGTCAACCCGACCGACTCCCAACAATAAGGAAAAATAAAGTTGCATCTTCGCTACCAGCTATAGCTTTTGGCGTAGTCGTAAGCACAATGGAATAGATACTGAGAGTTTGTGTTGAGCATACTGATATCATCAGGGCTATCAGTTCTGGACAAAAGCAGACAGCGAAGGCGTTTTCATGATCAACAACATTCGCCCCGGGGACTATAATCTTTATGCTTGGGTCCCTGGCTTTGTTGGAGACTATAAGTATGAAGAAGCCATTGAAATCACTGCAGGTTCTAGTCTCTCACAGCCTGCAAAAACTTTTACAGTCTTGTAACTTCAACCCCATCAAATGAGTGATTATATGGAATGAGATGAATGCATTATTGTGTCCAGGTTGTGAAATTGATGTTGGTGATCTTGTGTACAACCCTCCAAGAAATGGCCCAACATTGTGGGAAATCGGCTGCCCCGATCGCTCTGCTGCAGAGTTCTTCATCCCTCAACCTGATCCCAAGTACATCAATAAGCTCTTAGTAAACCTCCCTGCAGAAAGGTAACATTTTCCTTCCCGGATTCTTTCTCCAAACAGTTGTGTTACTCGTGTTCTCGAGGTGTCTATTGTTGAGAAAAACGGGATCAAGAGATCAAGAACAGAAAACAGAAAACGAAAAAGAAGAGTTTGGGTGGATAGGCTGAGAGCCTATGTCTACCTGAGTGTGAGGAGATTTTTATTTATTGTGATGATAAAACCTTCAGAGATAATGGTAAATTACAAAATTACCCTTGTACTGTATTGTAGGGGGTGCTGCCCCTCACCCCTGACCCATTGAACGTGGTTCGAACCACGGAGACAGGTTTCTTTAAACATTCAATGATGTTTTGTTTCTTTAAACAGGTTTAGACAATATGGACTGTGGGAGAGATATGCAGAGTTGTATCCAGATGGGGATTTGGTGTATACTGTTGGGACTAGTGACTACCAAAAAGATTGGTTTTATGCCCATGTGAATAGGTGCAAACATTTCATATTATTAGTTGCATTCATATTATTTTGTGAATTTTTACTGATTAATATTGGTATCATTTTGTACCAAGTACAATTGTATATGTTATTTAAGTTGTACTGGGTACTATAGATTTCGATGCAACCAAGCACACTATACATAATTGTACTTGGTACAAAAGACACTGACATTTTAGAAAAATCCGTTATATTATTCGATGGCATGTTTGGTCAATCTGAATTGAAAGGATTTGTTTTTTGGCATTGCAGAAAAGTAGGTGACAATTCATTTAAAGCAACAACTTGGCAAGTAAAATTCAAACTGGACAGTGTTGATCAGACAGGAAACTACACCCTAAGAGTTGCACTTTCATCTGCCACATTCTCTATTTTAGAGGTGTAATTTACATTTCATTTGCTACTCTTTTCACTCTTGTAAAATGGAAAATGAGGTAATTCAGTCAAGTTTAGAGATGTCAATTTGTCCCGTCTTTGACGGGAATTTCTAATCCCCACCCCCTACGAGAACGAGAATGAAAATTTTTTTCAGAGAATGGAGACGAGGAATCCCTGTCCCCGCCTAATTTCCCTCGGAGACAGGGATGAGAACTATTTTTAGTTCACCGCAGGGGATGGCAACGAGGTTGGGGTTTCGGGGACGGGAACGGGAAGTATACTCCCCGCCCCGTTGTCACCCCTAGTCAAGTTGGTCATGTTGTTGACTTGGTAACTATAAAGTTACAAATTTGACTCCAAGGGAAACAGTCTAATAGTTTTATTGGTTTGAACCGGTCATTTACCGGGTTTACCTCGTGCACACCCTCAAGTAATGACTGCGTGCTTTCCTCATCACTCAACTCTCGCAAAATGAACATCATTAGATTCTTTTTTTTTTTTATGGAATAAATTGCATTAATCATTTAAGTTTTGCATAACACGTTGGGGCAGGTGAGGATTAACGATCCAGATGCGAGTCCACCTGAGTTCTCGAGTGGGTTGATTGGGAGCGACAACTCGATAGCAAGGCATGGCATCCATGGTCTCTACTATTTGTTCAACATTGAGATACAAAGTGGGAAGCTGCTGCAAGGAGACAATAATGTATACCTCACACAATCAAGGAACACAAGTGCTGTTCATGGTCTTATGTATGACTACATTCGTTTGGAGGGTCCTCCTACTCCCACTCCAATTTGATTGCATAATTTTCCAATCCAAATTTCATACAATGAGTCAATAACTCTGAATGTTTCAATCCTATCTCTGTTTGTATTATCATATATTCATATGTATCAAATCTTAACTCTTTATCCTTCATTAAATGTACTAAAAAGATTGACAACATCCTTAATTTCATGTTTTGAGTATGTAAGTCATATGTTGTTTAAATGAACAGTAAAAAACAAAGAATATTAAGAACTACACTATCAGTAGATCAGTCAGTCTTGCAAGGCATAGAAATGAGGGGCTAGCTCAGCTAACCACAAGTAATCGATTCTGGAGATGTTGCGAACGTAGGTATAGTTAGTCTGCACTAGTTCATTAAACACTATGCACTCGGGTTTTGCTCGAAACAGCACAGAAGACGGGTGGATTTGAACTGTGGAACCACTCGATAAAACCCTGCCAAACGGAGTTTGAAGTAGTGTGTGTGAGTAACTAGGTTATACGATTCAGATGGGAAGATGAAGTCCGATGTAATACCTGTATGTACTGTCGGGCTGCTTCAGAGCTGCGTTCAGGAAAAATGAAGCGGCCAGGCATCTACGAAAGAGAAGTGTGTCTTCTCCACAGGAAGAGATCCGAAGACCCATTTGTTCAACGTTCCTGTGAATTTGACTGCAAAAGAAGCATGTATCGTGAAAAAGAATGGGGTCAAAATATTCTGTTATGGAACTACCACACCAGCCATTGCGAAAAATAAGAGAGAATATATGAGTTTATAAGGTCATAGGTCAGACTAACTAATTGATCGGATTCAGTTTTTTAGTATGATTTGGCACAAGTACATTATAGTCCAATTGAATAACCTTGGCCCAATCTTAGAATATACTCCGTAACATGGTATCAAAGCCTGTTCGGCCCACTTTGGTGGCCCGATATAAGAGAACATATGAATTAGATAGCTAATTGATTAGATTCATTCTAATCATAACAAACCTGTGAATGTCACGTGCATGTCTTAGGGAGCGGCTGTTAATGAAATTATCCTTGCACCACTTTCGGAGATTCTTTTCAGCTTTAAGTTCACCGTTTGTGATCTTGCTCTTCTCAAAGAGCTCATTTGAAGCACGATATACATTAAGCAAGGTCAAATGATCTCCGTCGGGACTCGCAAAGCTTTTCAATGCATTTCGTGACTGCCCAAAATGAAGAGGAACTGTTCAGGTTTACACAGAAATAAACGAAGCTATGATGCAGACGACATGAAGTCCTCTCAAAAAATTAAAGAATTGATATTACTCGGTACAAGGACGCATCAAGAGGGTCGGGTCGGGTCTCAAAGGCATACCTCCTCCAATTTTTCACGAGGAGCATAGAAGATGGATTCGACCGAGAGCATTGCAACAGATATTAGCATTTCTTCCAAGCAGCCAAACTGACTGGCAAGAATGAGAGCCTTTGAATGCATGGGTTCTAATGGCAGCCCGGCCATTTGATGCCCGATGGGATCAGACAGTTCGTTATTTTCTGTTATAGCACCCAATAAAAAGAGAGTCTCCAGTGATTTGACCAATGCCATCCTGTCATCATAAAGGAGAACCAGTGAGGGAAACAAAGCGACATTCGTGATGATCGGGATGACCTGTTATTTTATTTTCTTATTCTCAAAATTCGTTTTAATAAAAGAAGGAATAAGGGTCAAATTGGTCATCGAACTCACACAATAATGCAATTAGGCCACTGAATCTAAAAAAAAAAACTACAATTGAATCCCTAAACTAACCAATTTCATACCAATTTGCAGGTTTTTTTAAAGTTCAGTGGTCTAATTGCATTATTGTGTGTAGTTCGATGGCCTATTTGACCCTTATTCCATAAAAGAAAGCAAAAACACGTAGTATACTATTTACCGCTCATTCATCAAGTGTAAATAGAATAGACAATACAGCCACCTTAAATAAAATCAGAAAACAAAGAGGCAGACACAACTGGAAATTTCTCGTAATCACCTTTTTGGTTTCTCGATGAAGTCAAAGTCAACAATATTGTCAATCCCTAGAGCCTTGAGCTGCAACACAACATTTGAGAGATTGCATCTCTTGATTTCCGGAATTGTGGAATCATCAAGTTTCTCAAACTCGCTTTCCGGATAAAGGCGGTAGCATTTTCCAGGTCCTTCACGGCCAGCACGCCCACTAATTAAAACCGAATTAAATGAAGACTTGGTTTGATTCAAAAGCGGGAAAGGAAAGTAAACCAATTTCCTAACACTAACTTTCGTGATTCCAGTTTAATACCTCGATACATTTTTCCATACCACTAGACCTCAAATCCAAACTGAAAAACCCATGTATGTCAACCAACCAAAGACCTTTATTCATGGAAAAGCTAGCGTGAACTTTAACAAAAGCTTCTCTTCTTAAACTCGTAACCAACAAAAGACATTTTCACATTTAAAATCTGACCTTCTCTGTAGTGCTTGTGCTTTGGATGTTTTCACAACAATCAGCGAGTCAATTCCCATATCAGCATCATAGGTGCGTGCTTTCACCAGCCCGGGATCAATAACATACTTGATTCCAGGTATTGTCACTGATGTCTCGGCAATATTAGTTGCCAGTATCACCTATAAGACAACGGGAAGCATATATAGAGCTGGCAAAGACGTATAAGAAACTAAACGGCTCTATTGCCATTTATGAGAAAAGTATAGTGTGGTAATAAACCAACCTTACGAAATCCAGCTGGTGCGGGCAAAAAAGCTTTCATTTGCTTCTCAGAAGGAAGAGAAGAAAATATGGGGAAGGTTAAGAGCTTCCTATTGCCTTCGGGTAAATGTCGTAGGCGGTCATGAACAAGCCTCTCGACAGATTCAATCTCTTCTTGGCCAGTAAGGAAAACCAGTACATCTCCGGGGCCTTCCTCCAAATGGATCTAAAACACAAGGAAATTAAGTAATGACAAATTGTTACAATAGATTTTGAATTGGACAACAAGAACATTATTAGATATACAGCAATCAAAACATTTATGAAGAGATTAACGAGAACAAGAATCAATAACAATGGCAGAAAGTAAATAAGATAAAATTTACGTGATTCGGAAATGTGCCTACGTCCACGGGAGCGAAGCTGTTCTGTTATTAATTGTGATGGTGATGATCAAACATCATATTTATATGCAACCCTAAACATGTTCATGTGCTGTCTCCGCTCCGTTCCGTACATATGAGACATACCCAACAAATGACATGAAATACGCAAATAGAGTTAGATAAACACCTGAAAGATAGTAATCAATGCTGCATCTATGTAATCCGTCTCTGGCTGATGGGTGTAAAATATATCTACGGGAAATTGTCGCCCCTGAACATGAACAGCTCTAGCACCACAGAAGTACTCAGAAAAAACTCGTGCATCCAGACTAGCAGACATGATGATCAATTTCAATGGGGAATATTTTTTGGCCCGACACTTTTTGAAGATACCATCAGAATGAGCATCCTGTTTATCCTCTAACAGCAGCTCATTCTTAGGCTTTGTACTATCAACACTTACCCCTCCATGGGCATTTTGTAACCTTGCTTTCTGTACGTTCTTCAACAAGCCAAGTAAGACATCAGTGTGGACTGTTCTCTCGTGAGCCTCATCAACAATAATAACAGAATACTTGGAGAGGTATGGGTCCAATAATGCTTCTCTGTAATCATATATATATTATAAAATTGTGTAAATGAAACAAACACAATTATCAAGATAAATATTTGTTCTTCCTCGGATAGAACAGACTTTATATGCAACAACATCATATCTCATGTTACCTCAGAAGCAAACCATCTGTCATGTATTTGATCTTTGTTGAGTTGGAAGTTACATCCTCGAATCTAATGGAATATCCAACCCTTTGACCCAATTCAACACCGCATTCCTCAGCAACTCGTTTTGCAACAGTTATGGCTGCAACACGTCTTGGTTGAGTGACCCCAATAATTCCACCATCACGACAGAATCCCCCATGATAAAGGTACTGAGGTAACTCTGAAACAACCAAAGAGACGAATAGCAGTTTGAAGCATGCTTTGTTATCTTCGAATGACATTTTATGAAATCTTAAAATTACAGGCTTTTTTTTAATAGTTTGAGCAATTAATGTACCCATTTTCTTTTGGAAATCATATACTAATAGGGAAATGGGAATTTTCATTCTTGAATTATAGGAAAATGGCACTTTTTGTCCCTCAATTATACTGTCAGCACTTTTAATCCCTCAATTGTCTGCAAAATAGCTTTTAGGGTCCCTTAATTGTTGCAAAGTGGCTTTTTTCGTCTCTAAATTTTGTTAAGATTGAGTTTAAAAAGTCACTTTGTAGACAATTGAGAGACGAAAAGAAATCATTTTGCAACGAAAAGCGGAGACAGTATTATTGAGGGATGAAAAGTGCTATTTCCCTATAACTCAAGGACGGAAAGTGTCATTTTCCCTATACTAATCCTTTACTGTAATGGATTTAAGCAATAGCTTAAACGCCCTTTGAAGATTGTCCCTGGCAACAAAGTGCTACTAGTTGACATTTTGGTCAATTTTTCAAACCCTAGAACAACATCTTTAAAATCATAGGTAAATGTTCATGCCCCAAACCCTACAAACTTGTATTATGTGGAAATTGTCCTAGCCCCTGTCGTAACAGGAAAGCAATATGCATTCTATGCAAAATGAAATAATAGCAAAGGTTAACACAACAGAAAATAAATGAACGTTATCTTCTAGGAAACCCATAATCAATATCAAGTAAAGATTAAATTTTGTGAATATGCAACAATTATTCGTCAAGAAATTTCAATTAAAATGTCTTTTCTCCAGTCCACAAGCACGAAAACTTACGTGTCGTCTTTCCACTACCAGTCTCTCCAACGATTATTAATGTGTTGTTGTTATGAACCTCCTTCACGAGTTGCTTTTCAACTAGGCCAAAAATAATAATAATAATAAGGAGTTAAGATACAATGTGCAATTTCTACTCTATGATTTATTAAAAAACAAACAATCCTTAAAAAAGCAGTATAGAACTCCATCACTACACAAATGCCAGAGAAGAATAACAGTTACCAGAAGCAATTGGTAAAGATTTTCTTTGTTTTTCAATCTTCTGCCGCCTGTAGACATTTACAGACATTAAATCAAACATCAAACATGCATATATAAAGCAGGAAAATCAAAAATTTGTATGAATTGATAGGAGTATATGCATAAAATTAATTAGAGACCTACCTGAGGAGGTCACCTTTTCCGTTAGCGAGTTGATTGTGATGATTATTCTGCGCGGCGGCATTAGCCGTATTTGCCATCGAAGGCATATCTTTGAGCTACTTTTCTCACGAACAGATTACAAAAGCAAAAGTATGAAATTCACCGGAGAAGAGCGCCGAAACTCGCCGGAGAAAAGAGCCGAAGCTCACCGGAGAAGAGAGCCGTAGCTCGCCGGAGAAAAGAGCTGGTATCCGGTCGCCGTCTCAAGGGAAAGAGCTTTATTTTTATTTTATTTTTTTCCTGTTACGCGACGGGGAGGCGCCGCCGGGGACCAAAGAATAATGGGGTCCTCGACGAAGTGGCAAAGTGACGAGATATCTTTTTCTTTTTTCTTCTTTTTTCCGTTTTCTTTTAACAGTTTGTTGTCTTTAACATTTTTTTTAGCATCTTTTCGTAGGATTTACTTAGCGGCGGCGTCTTTTATCGTCATTCGTCAGAACAGCTTTTAGGTTGAGCACTACTTGATGGTTACCTGAAATATAGGTTTTTAGATATTAGATGTTTATGGAGGATCTTATAAATTTATTTTCAAAATTATGAGAAGATAAATCGAGTTCATATAATAATAATAATTAATAAAAAATTTCTATTCAATTTTTACACTCATAAAAACGACACAATTATATTATATTTACCTAGTTATAGTATAGACCTTATTTTATTACTAATTGGATGTCATGTTATATTATTTTATATTTTTTTAATTTATTTAAAAAAAAAATTGAACTAGGGCGAGCGGTTGGGCATGGCTTCTCTTCGTCTGATAAAGAGGGGGTGGTGAAGACGATTGTCGATCTTGATCTTTTTTATTTAATTTTTTAGTTTTAAATAAATTATACAAATAAATTAATATTTTGACATGACATCCCAAGTCAACGATAATAATAGGTTTATAGGTATAATCGTATAAAAATTACCTAACTATACTATTTTTATGAATTTAAGAATTCAATCAGAACCTTTTATAGTTTAAGGGTTTAATTATTTTGTATTTAGTTTGACATCCTATTTGATCATTTTTCATAATTAATATTAAATGAATTATTAACACACAACATCATATAAACACAGTGATCCAATAATTTTAACAAAGTAAAAAAAAATGTTAAAATTATAATCAAAATAAAAATTACTAGTCATTTTTAACTAGTCAACTTTTTAATTACACATGACATGTTATATTTAAATACTACTGTTGATTTTATGACTTTTTGGACAATCAATGCTTGGCCAACACAACTTAAAATAACGAGTATATAGAAAATTGGAAAATATGTAGAGAATATAGATATTGTATTGCTCAAAATTGCCTATGAATACTGTAAATTCATATTGGGAGTCTTTGTTACATTGGAAGTAATAAGTCATAAGTTCCTAACCCTACTACATTAGGAATAATGAGCCCATTCCTTATTAAACTCCTAAGTTGCGGGTCCCCCGCTTTCTTGAGATTTTGGGTCAATCCGCGAAGTCAATGTCTCGAGTCCTTCACGTTCTTGAGATTTCGCGAAGTCAATATCTCGTGTTCTAGATAGGAGTGGTATCGGGAGATTTTTTTTTTTTTTTGGTGGGGGGGGGAGGGGGGGGGGGGCTGACCGGTCAACGGTGGGAGTACTGACTGATTAGCGTTTTTGTGAATTCCCGACCTCTCTTAATCTTAAGGGAGAAGAGTGCAACACAACTCACGTCAACCAAGCTGGTCAAAACAATAGTTTATTTTAAAACACTATTCATATTAGTTATTCATAGTGTAAATGAACTTCCAATGACTTCCCCTCATATTAATTTATTATGTGTGAAATGATTTGTGAATTAGACGGTCAACGCTTTGGCTATAAATATGTATTTGTTTGATTGTGTCAACTAGTTTTTACACCTCCTCTCTTTCATTGTTGATGTGCTTAATTTGTATTTTGTTAAGAAAAATGCTAATTATTCTTAATTTTGCCACTAACAAACCAACCACTCATCAATGTGACAAAATTATATACATTAGTTAATTGTATTAGTGTCTAAAATTTTGTCCCATCATGAAGTGTTTAGTTAATAAGTGATACAAGTATGCGTGTGTTGTGTTGTACTTTGGTTAATTAATGATACTTCTTTTGCTTAGAAAAAAAGTGTTGTGATGAAAGACTATAGATTGATGGGAATTGAAAGGAGACTAAAGAATTGGCAACGGAATATTCTATAACCAATTAGGAATGAGCCCTTACACAAGCCTCAACCACTACCTTCCTATTATTGACTTTAATACTTAGGGAGCATTTGGTTACACACACAGACATATGTGTATATATATATATATATATATATATATATATATATGAAAGGTACATGTGAGAACACTCCCCTGTAAAAAAAAAAATGTATAGACACATCTACACCCTCTATTTTAATAAATCAAAAGTTATGATTTTACCTTTACTAAACTTTCAATAATTATAAAATGAACCTGCTCTTATAAGTTTTTAATAATTATAAAATTGATATGGTGTTTTTTCTTTTTTACTAAAATCCCCAACCATTGATGAATTATTATAGACAACTAAGACCAGTCATCACTTTTTATAGGAAGACCATATTTAATTTGATTATATATATATATATATATATATATATATATATATAGGGATGCGATGACATGAGACCCCCCTCCCCATGAGTCCATGAACTTATGCACCTTAAGCTATAAACTTATGCATCTTAAGCTATAAACTTACGCACCTTAAGCTTTAAACTTGCACAAAATTACCATAATGTCACCGTGTTTTGTTCGTTTTTAAAAAATTTTCTTCATCTTGGGCTGTTGATTTTGGCTAGATCAATGATTGAGATTTCACCCAATTTTTCACTTGATAACTCATTCCATTTGATCTCTAGTATATATATATATATATATATATATATATATATATATATATATATATATATATATATATATATATATATATATATATATATAGTGTAAGGTTCCCGTACGATTGTGCGGTTGATTAATGGCGTGAGGTTTGTACTCAATGTGCGTGAGTATTATGCTTAATGTGTCTGAGATTTGTACTTAATGTGCGTGGCCGCGTGGGTGTGTAATGTTAATGTGCGTGAGTTTTGTACTTGAGGTGTGTGAGTCTTGTGTCTAAGATGCGTGAGTTGTGTGCTTAATGTGCGTGAGTGTGTTCTTCACTGTGAAAATTATGCGCATCCACTGCTGCATTTTCTTCTTGTTTTTTGTTTCGAAGTGGTGGAGGAATGAATTTTGTCTTATTTTTAACATAAAATCAGAACAGCCATATGTGAGTTTACATATATCCTTCACACACAATCAGAAAAGCTTCACCCACCTTCTCTTTCTATTCTGCTTCCTTCTGAGCTCGTAATTTTGAACTAAGTCACGCACATTAAGCACAAACTTCATGCACATTAAGCACAATACTCGGGCACATTAAGTACAAAACTCACGCACATTAACATTACACACTCACGCACATTAAGCACGCGACTCACGCACATTAAATAGTGAGTTAGTGACCAAAACAATGTCTAATCTTTTGTTCAACGTGACAAAAAATTGCTTTCTTATTCATACCCACCACCAAGGGGCGACCCAAATACTTACCAAAGTCATCTAATAGCGTCACCCCAAAGACACTCGTCACTTCATCCCTAATCCCCGTCCCCGAGTTCCGACTATTCGATTTATGGTAATTGACTACCTGGCCCGAGAAAAACTCATAGGCGTGTAAACACTAAAGTGACTAAACACATCTTGACCTCGTTGGTATATTAATGGTCAATAGTTGCGAAAAAATAAGGGGAAAATGGACACGGATCTTTTTTATAAAAAATATTAAAAATATAAACGTTTTCAATAATTTTAAAATTAAACCCATTTTTTTTTAATACTAAAACTCTCTACCATTGATGAATCATGATTAATAGCTGAAACCAGTCATATTTTTTTATGGTATGATACACACACATATACATATAGGCGTAGAAATTACTCCATTCGTCTCATTTTATATGTCTAATTTGGTTAACAATGTTTGACTGGAATTATTTTTAGTTCACTTTTTTGTAATATTAAGTTTATTATTAGTGTATAAATTTATATATTTATAAACTACATCAATAGTACTATTAAACACAAAAGTTAAATTTAAAATATTAAATAAAAAAGTAAAGAAAAAAAAAGATTGTTTGACCAAGAAATAGTAAACATGAGAAATAAAATGAGACAGCTGGAGTATCATATTATAATGCATCATTTTTATCATTATAAAGATGGACTATATACTTGGATTGCAAATAAAACGTATTACACTAATTAGTGATAAAATATATGAGCTTTATATTTATTTTGTCCTATTTTATGTGTCTAGTTCAGTTAACGAGTTTTGACTAAAATTATTTTAACTTAATTTTCATTATATTAAATTCAGTATTAGTTATATACAATTTATATATTTAGAATCTACATTATTAAAAGAGTTACAAAGTGCTAAAAAAACAAATTTAAAAATAGTTTAAAAATACCAAAATAAAATAAGAAACAATTGGTTTAATAAATGAATAATTGAATAATAAACATAACATGTAAAATGAGACAGAGCGAGTAATATACACAGTAATTTAAAGTTCATGTCTTAAATTAGTGATAAGCTTAAGACTATATGCTTGGCAAACCTAGCTGAAAAGTTAGTTGAAAGATGAAAAGTTACCTTTAAGCTAGCTGTTATGCTTAAAAGTGTTTGGTAAAATTAGTTGTTTGATAAGATGATAAATGTAAAAAGACTAAAAATGACATCTTCATAAAATTTAAATTAGTATGTTTACATATTAAAATTTAACATTTTGTCTTAAAAAATAACATTTTAAAATTAAATAAAATTGTTAGCATAATCACGATCTAGCATCCCATAACATTTTCATCCTATTCATCATATATATTAGATAATCAATCATAAAATAATAATAAAGGATAAATGTGCGGATAAATGATTTGTCATTTCTTTAAAATGTTTAATAATAATAATAATAGTAATAATAATAATAATAATAATAATAAAAATAATAAAGGATTTGTGGTGAAAGTGTTCCGAATAAAAGATAATTAAAAGGTTTTAATTGGGAAGGGTAATGATGTCATTTCTTTAAAATAATAAAGATAAAAATAGGAAAAAAGTTAAGAAGCTACTAGATTATTTTGAAACGCTACCTTGCTACCTAAGGTAGCGTTCCAAAATAAGTTCTTATTTTAAGCTACGAGCTTATTTTTGAAACATGACCAAACAGAGCTTATAGCTTATTAGTAACTTAAAATAAGTTATAAGCTACTAAATAAGCTTCGACAAACAGAGCCTAAA